AGTAATACAGATTTTAAGGGTTAAGAAATATTGAATACTATTTTAAAGAGAAAATTGAGTCTAAAGTGACTAGTTTTGTCTGTGAAGCTACTAAGGGATGGAGTGGCTCATGGCAGAGTTGAAACTGAGCAATTTCTGTAGCTTCACCTTATATCATGCCACTTGTTCTGTTAATTGTTTCATCTAACCTTGAGTTTCGAATGTTTCTGTAAAGGCAGGTTAAGAGAGTACACTCCTTGATTTTTATCTTGTGTGTCATAAAATAGTCTAAATTATTGGAAGAGAATGAAAATCATTTTGAATTGAAGTGACTAAGTAGGATTATTCTCTTATCTTTATCTCTAACCACCTTTTATTTTCCTAAAATAGACTGGTAATTTCAATCAAATGGACAAAATAGCAGTACTTAGAAACATAGTTTGGTACTAAATTGGAATATGTGGGTGGATTAGGTCGGCACTGTAAACCAGCTGGTTTTATAGATGGATAACACATAATGTGAACAGAGGTTTGGGTGTGGGAAAATGTAATTATCAGTGGGTTACTCTATTACTGATTATTTGGATTATTGGACCATGTGGGAGAAATAAGCACTGTGCAATAGAGTATTTTCTCTGGTAAGATATTTCTTGTGGTGACTGAAGGAACATGTGCCCTTGCTCTGGTCCAGCACCAATCTCTCCCTTTCTACTTGCTTTTTCCATCAGCATTCAAATATGCTGTGGTGTTTCCCATCTTAAAACAGTCTCTGTCTCTCCTTCCCTCTTCCTCTTCCTCTCTCTCTGCCTCTCTCCTCTTCTTCTCTCTCTCTCTCAAGCTCTCTCGCTGTCTTTCCTTCCTTCCTTCCAAACTTCCTCCATTTCCTTGCTCCCAAGCCATCATCATCTCTCACCTGGGCTTCTGTACTATTCATCTGCTATTCCTGAGTTCCAATTTCAGCCCCCAAAGATCACTTCCCACACAGCAGTCTAGGGGATATATTCAATAGGAAATCAGATCGTGCTGCCAAATCTCCTGCCCTTACAACCTTTCAATGTCTTCCTGTTGCTCTTAGAATAAAATTCAAACTTCTGACCAAGGTCTACAAAGCCCTATGGGATCTGACCCTAGCTTGCCTTTTCATCGTCTCCAGTTAATTTCCTCCTAGCTCACTTTAGTCCATCCCCAAGGGTCTGCTTTCTGAAAATTAAAACTCAACCATCTCAGCCTCTCTCATTTGCTATTCTCTTCAAATACTTTTCATCTTTACTTTTGTATTATTTGAAATGTTTCTCTGATTACACAACACAAAACGGATATGTGTTTTGGAAGTTTTATTTAATGAAACCTACACAGAGATATTGTAAGATTTATATTTCTTTCATATTAGATTTTCTTCTTCTTTTCTTTTTTTTTGTGAGAAAGATTGGCCCTGAGCTAACATTTGTTGCCAATCTTCTTCTTTTTGCCCAAGGAATATTGTAGCTGAGCTAACATCTGTGCCAATCTTCTTCTATTTTATGTAGGATGCCACCATAGCATGGCTTGACGAATGATGCTACATCTGTGCTCAGGATCCAAACCTTCAAACTCCAGGCAGCCAAAGCAGAGTGCACGAACTTAACCTCTATGCCACTGGGCCAGCCCCCTATTCTCCTCTTTCAAAAGTGCTCTTAAAATATTTAAGCAGGAAAATTTTAAAAACTAAAACAAACCAAAAGAACAAAACCTACGTGTGTGGAATGGAACTCACTCAATTATTTTGTAAGAACAATAGGATTATAATTCTATTTTCTTTCTAATATGATCTATTGACATGAAACACTCTAAGCAGAATATTTGCTATATGAAGATTTTGATTGAATAATTGCTTATGCTAATTAATATAGCAAAATAAATTTCTTATTTTGTAAGTAAATACTAGGCAATTATTGAATTTGACTCTAAAATTTCTTTTAAAGTTTTCAATATTCTACTACATTTAGTTCAATTTTTCACAAGAATAGTTTCATTCAGATAATTATGTTAATGGCGAAATAATAATTTTAAAAAACCAATTTAAACTAGATAGCAATTTTTATTTGCCAAAGTCAAAGATTACTTATCAGAAACACGTTGAATATCCTCACAACAGATTTCCTTAAGCAGATATTTTTGCTGGATAAGAAACAGAATCTTGATTCTGGTTCATGAGCCAAATTTTCCAAAGAAAATTTATTTTACTGACTACATACGTTATTATATTTGTGGTAAAGAGTCTTATTTGATCCACTTGTGTCTGCCACCACCAAGGATGGTGATTGTGATGGACTCTTAAAGAACCAGGAAACCTACTGCACTTTCCCCTCCAGAATTCAGTAATAACTAACCAATAAACATGGGGAATGACCTACAGAAACAAAAATACCGGACTTATGTCTGATAAAACTAGATTGCTGAATATGGTTTTGATGTGTGACCACAATGGATTTGTCAAACCTAGGTTCCTAATTCTTAAACACAAAGTCACAAGGAGAAAGAGAGTGAACCGCAGGACTTCCCAACAGAGCAGCATGGCAGAGAACGAGCAGACCAGAATTAACTCTACCGCAAGGCCGGCGTGAAAGAGGCAGAGAGAATGGCTTTGACCTCAGCAACTTCTTTTACCTTCTTTTAACCTAACACTGAGGAGAAGTCGGTGAGGGATGGGCAAGGAAAGAAACCAGGAGTGCTGAGCCCTGATTGTGATGTAATTCATATCTTTAGATAAACCATATGGGATCACTGGATGGAGCACATTAGCAATACACTTGCTCCCATTCATGGAATGAATGTAAAAACTAAAATCTTCAGAGCAATCAATAAAACAGGCTATTTGAGCAGAAAAAAGGGACATAATAGTTATATCTACTGCTACAAAGTTCTCAGTTATCTAGATGTTTTTACATTTGTAATAGGCAAGCCAAGTCACCAGTAGATTTTGATTTCATCTCAGAAACAAACATGAGTACAGCATCATTTTGATAACCGAGGAGAAAGGCTGAATATTGCTACTGACTGAGAAGTTATTTGTTAAAACTGTTTTCCCTCTAATGCCACTGTTCATATAAGAAATTGATGCCACTGTTCATATAAGAAATTGAGTTATACCTAGTCAGATGAGATGGAGATTTTCTAGTAGACATATTACATTTCAAAGTATTATACTTTAGTCCCCAGAATGTGCTATCAATCTCTGTTCCTTTGTACAGTGGTTGTCGAAATTCACACAAGGGAAAATTTCTCAAAAAGCATACGTAAATCAAAATTGCCTTTTATATAGAAAGATGATCCTGATAATCTCCTGTCAGTACAATATGTTTTGAGTTGGATTTGTACGTCATTAGGAGTAAGCTCATCAGAACTTATTGGAATTCCACTCTCAAGCTGGTTGAGTTAGTCAGCTACCCCTGGGTATGACTGACAATTTAGCAAATAAAAATATAGGATTCCCAGTTAAATTCGAATTTCAAATAAACTTCAAATAATTTTTTTGTGTAAGTATGTCACAGGCAATATTTGGGACATATGTATGCTAAAAAATTATCTGAAATTCGGATTTCACTGGATATTGTCTATTTTGCCTGGCAACTTTATCTCTATAGCAGGCTATCATTCCTTGTATCTACCCCTGAAGATATGTACAACTGAATATATTCTTTTATTTGAATATTAATTTGATGATCTTATGATTATAATAGTTTTACTGGCAAACTTATGGTGGGTTCAATTATGCTACTGTTTATCTGCGTTTAAGGCAAAAATTTTCACTTGTCGTTTTTAAAAACAGGGCACACATCTGCATCTCAACTTGAAATATTTTAACTGAAAATATTAACTCATTCACATTTCAAGCGACGGGTTTCTAGTTAGGTGAACACAGTGGTCGACATTATTTTATGAAAATAATACGTATTTTCCAGTGCAGGAGATTATTCATCTATGTTGTCTTAAAAAAGACCTTTACTTTATTTTTATGTAGTTATTTGAGTATTGATGTATCTCTATTGGTGGGAAATGTATTCTTAGATTTTGGATCAAGCTGCAAAATTTGGTACTTCTTTCAGGAACCACGATTGTGTGCAACTGAGGTGGCTGGAAGGCCACTATGACTGTTGAGCAGGTCTTTACACAGCACCCTCACAACCTAGAAACTTTACTCTTGGGAGGATTAATGTGTATTGAAGTGTGTGTTCACACAGTCTTACATTTACATCTTATCATAGCCTTGGCAGCTACAATTTGAGATCTTAAAGTTGTTTTCTTTTTCAATGTCCTGTATAATGTCAAGTTGGCTCTTCAAACTTGAAGCCTGATGATGTCTTCAGAGTGAATTCACAAAATGAAAAGGACACAGCCTTTTATTTTAAAAATATATATTGTTTTAGAGGAAAAACAAATGATTGAGTAGTATATGTCCTTTAAAACTTACAGTTAAATGCTGGTCCGCAGGATTCCTTGCATTCTGCAAAAACATTAGAATGGCTTTTATCAGATATATCATGAAACCAAGTCAGACATATTTAGGGCCTTCAAGTTTTTAGATATATTTCTGTTGTGGTTTCTAAACACTATGTCACTAGATGGTTTATAACAGCATATCCCATATGAATATTCCTTTTTGGGATGACCATCTAAACCACAATTATTTTTTATAATTAAAAAGGCATAATTAATCAAGTAAACATCTTGTCTAGCTATGTCTTTAATAGAAATACTTTTTCAGTGTAATAGCTTAAGGGGTAGAATATAACTGTGGCTGTTCTGAACAGAATTAGATACTTTATTTTCATCATTTATTGGAACAAAAAATGAGTACCTGTCCGATATTTCCAATGAGAGTAATTTGAAAATAGTCAAAGTTATGTACACAATCATGCTGTGGGCAAAACTATGTTAAGTTCTTGTTGACAACTAAATGGTTTGATGCTAAGATGCTCTACAACAATTGCTGTAATTTTCTGTAAGTGTTATAACAAAATTGTCATTTATTTATCTTCTAGATGAAATGAATGATCATCAAAGTACCCTCTCCTACATCCTGATTAATCCGTCTCCAGATACCAGACTGGAGCTGAATGATGTTGTGTAAGTTGACCCATAGCTTACGTAAGGTATTATTTTTACAAAAGCACTGTTTATTTTTATATTTTTATTTCCACCATTATAGTTCCTTATTCTTCTTGCAATATAAATGCTTGGAAACTCCAAGTCTAACTTTTGCGTTCAATGAATAAATGCATTTTATGTATTGCTGTGTGTAATGCTATAAAAAAGCATTGTAGGATTGTAGAAGTATGAAAGAAGGAAATAGCAGCATTGAATCTGTATTCTGTGAGCTAATATATATTTGGGGAAATAATAGAAAATATGTGGAATAATAGGAAGAAAGCTTAAAGGAAAACCTGCAATATCCCACACTATCTAGTTCTAAATACCTTAGAGTTCCTAAAAGCCAAAATGAAACAGGTCAAAACACTGATTAGAAAAAGCTAGCAATTTATTCATCAAAAAATATGTTATGCACGTACAATTGTACTAGTGTTGTCTTAAAAGTGTGACACAGAGATGAATAAGACATTTCCCCTGATTTCGAAGTGCTTACATTCTAATTAACAAAACTACAATTTAAGCCTAAAGAATTTGATTGCAATCTAATATGACCTTGTCACTAATGAATTAAGCGTCAGTTGAGTGAGAAAGCGTTTTTCTAAATTCAGGGAGGGAGATGTTAGTGTGACTTACAGTGATTACGAAGAAGGCAAGGTTTGAACTAGACTCTGAAAGGAGATAGGATTTGTGTAGGTGGAGAGCAGAGGATGTTGCAGAACAGGGAGATGGCTTGAGACATGCACCACATGGGGATACATTGTGTGTCTCAGTTGGCAACACTACGTAGCACTTTGTCTCATTAACATTTCTGCTGTTTAATTAGTTAAACATAATATTGAAAACGTATATTAACCCAGACTTTGGAAGGACCTTAGATGACAAAATAAGGAGTTTAAACTCCGCCTTACAGGCAATGGGCAGCACTTAGCGATATAAGCAAGATTTTAGAAAAGGCATTTTGACAGTTCGTATAATCCTAGCAGAGAAATTCTTAATAAGAATCTGCTCTTGAAGTCCATGGTCCTGAGGATGGCCTGGATCAGGAGCTGCTTACCCCAGGTAGCTAACTCCAGATTGTATTACTGACGTAAAACGAATGCCAAAGGTCCACAACTCTTGGTGGGTGTGAGTTAGGTCCACAGGATGTGTTTGTATCTATAATCAGAAAAATATGTTATTAGGTCAGAGACTACGAGGGGTGAGAACATTCTGTGATGCAGAGCCTCAAATGTATCCATGTAAGTGGTTTAAAACTAAAGCTGGTTATACACCACGAATTAGAAGACTACTTTTGTTGTTGCTGTTGTCCTTGTTCTTGTTGCGAGGAATATTGGCCCTGAGCTAACTTCTGTTGCCAATCTTCCTCTTTTTTCTTTCTCCCCAAAGCCCCAGTACCTAGTTGTATATCCTAACTGCAAATCATTCTAGTTCTTCTGTGCGGGATGCTGCCACTACATGGCCTGATGAGCGGTGCTGGGTGTGTGCCCAGGAGCCAAACTGGTGAATCCTGGGCCACCAAAGCAGGGCACATGAACTTAACCACTCAGCCAGGGGCCGGTCCCTTTATTTTTTTTTAGTATGTTGCCAGTAATGTGGAAGATTTTGGCTTGGGTGGAAAGGGTACGATTTTCTTTTTAAGAGCTCTGCAAGAAGCAATAGAGTTGATTGGCAGGATGGATTAGGGTTGAAGCAAGCCTAAAAATAGAGAAGCCAGTTAAAAAGCTGCTATGCAGGTGTGAGGGAGCTAAGAATCTGTTGTAGCATCAGGATAATGGATTGTAAAGGCAGTCTTGTGTAGATAAATTTATACAGGCAAAGAGTGAGACTTGTTCATTGGTATGGGAAATGGAAAAGGAATCTAACATGGCTTTAAGATTTCAAATCCATGTGATTGCAAAAAAATAAAAAGGATGGCTCACTGAAACAAGTCAGAATAGGGAGGCAATTTTTTTAAGCAGGAAAAGAGTTGCTGGCTGGGGAGGAAAGAGAGACGATGGGCTGATGTTCAGATACATTGTTCAGTGTGCTCAGTGGAAATGTCTAGAAAACATATATAGAGAGAGTAGTGGAATTTTAAAGAGAAGCTAGTTCTATATAGAAAATGTTTATTTATTTTTCGTCTTTGAGATGAACAAAATCAAAAAGAGAATGACTTTTCCAAAGAAGATGTACATAAATTAGAGAAAGTAGTTGGATTGCTGACTAATGTTCAGTTTTAGGGCAGAAAGATGAATGTGTTTCAAAAGCTTCTTAGGAAAATACATCAGCAGGAGTGACTGACCCGAAATCAGTGTGAAAAGATTTTTATAATGCACCTAAGATACAACCAGCAAATATAAAATGCTTTATTTTGCCATCTGATGATACTGGTTACAATATAAGAGTTTTGGGAATCGGAATGGTAATTTCAGCTGCAAGAGTTCTTAAGGCAACTGTCAAAATTACATCCAGGGGAGACGTCGAATTTATGAAAGACTAAGTTAGATGAAAATATCTTATTTATGATGCATCTGGCTTTCAACTGCCCCTTCTGGAGACTTCACTTAGGATGTTACTATAATAAAACTAAACTACTCTGTTTTTCTTGTGTCCATATTTTTACATGTATTCTTTCCTTTAAACCCATAAAATCAGGCAATTTTTATTAATTGTCCAATCTGCCACTGTAATTCCAACCTTCTTAGACCTTTTTTTCAAATTATTTTAATTGTATTAACTACATAGAGTTTTTAAAAGTTATGCTTAACGTATTCATATTTTGGGCCTTACTTATTCGTAAGTTTCTTGGGCCTAATATAATAATTATTTACCGTGATTATTTTTGATGGAATGGGAAGATGTTGTTAGCATTTTGAGTCTGTGACCATACCCTTCCATCAAATAGATGTTTATAATTTGAAATAATTCCCCAAACTTTTAAACTTACAAATAAAATACATATGTTACAATGTATATGGGTAAAACAAATGTGACATTTTGTACCTTTTGGATACTACTATTTTTTATTAGTTTTAAGCTAAAACATTAGCTTGATTGCTATAAAAAACCTTTTTTGCAATGATGTGTATTTGTGGCATTGAGATAATTAAATTTTATTATAACTGAAACAATGATAAATATCATGAAAAAAATGCCAACTGGGACCAGTAGTACATAAAACCACTTTTAAGAAATTTATTTTAATAGACTCATAGGTTTAGTAATGATAATAATAGAGAAAGAAACATCAATGAATTTCGGAGACAATGGATTATACTCACACCTTTTATGTTTTTCTAAAAAACCACTTTCAGAAGTTCATTTTAAATGAAGGAGCAACATTAATTTGATTCAAAGAAAAATAAATCACTAGAAGATACGGTGTTAAAAAGCTTAATGGGCACTATTAGTTTGCTTCATCGATCTATGTACGACGCTACTGATATTTAAAGTAATTACTAGGCAGAATGCATAGATAACAAAATCCAGTTAATACGTCCACGGACACGAATGTCAACTTTTATTTGATTGAAGGAAATAGACTGTAGTGTTTTAAATTGCCGTTTCTCATTTTTATTAAGGGGCCTATTTTATGAATATTTTTCCTTTACTTTATAGAGGAAAAGTATAGTCTTCATTGGAGTTTTCACGTTTAAATTAGTTTCTCTCTTCATTTTTTGGACCTCCTAAAATTATTATAGAACTATGAAATACTAATTTCATTTGTACCTGACACAAGACCTTCTGAGATGCTGCGTTATGCATAGATACTTTTCTTCTCCCCCCCGTGTCTTCCCCCTGCCTTTGGAATAGAAATTGAAACTACTTATCCTGAGACTTCAAGTTCTTCATTAGCTGTTTTCTATTTTTCTTCCTGAATTTACCTACCACCGTTTCCTGGCCTAACCAGTCTTCTGAAGTTAAGCTCGCCTTCTAAACGTATCAGGAGCATCCCCCGCCTATGCCCACTGCTGTCCATGTCTGGGCTTGCCTCTCTGTGCCTCTGTTCCAGCCTCCAGAGAAGCACAAGCCGACCTCCTCAATCGTGTTCCCTTATTCTCTCTGTTCTTTTTCTTTTTCTGTCATGTTTGGAATTTCTGTTTCTTCTTGATATCTGCTTCATAAATTAAACAATACAAATCTTCTGCAGGACAGGGCCAGGATTTGTGACTTTTTATATTCCCAGGTCCTAGCGCAGTATTCTTGAGGTGCTCAAGAAGTGGATGCTCACATCACTTGACAGTCTGAAGTAAAACATCTCTCTTAAAACAAATCCTAACGTTATTGAAATGTGTGAGTTTGGCAGATGAACATTTTCCTATTTACTAGTAGAATGAATTAAGAATTATCTTTTATTCTTTTGCATGATTGCTTACTCTAGCATCATCTAAATCTTAGATTAATAAATTTCCAGGTAATTAAAATATTATTGGGGCAGCCCAGAGACATAGCAGTTAAGTTCGCATGCTCCACTTTGGCGGCCCAGAATTGCCTGGTTCAGATCCCAAGCCATGCTGTTGTGGCATCCCACACATAAAATAGAGGAAGATGGGCACAGAAGTTAGCTCAGGGCCACTCTTCTTTATTAAAAACAGGAGGATTGGTGGTAGATGTTAGCTCAGGGCTAATCTTCCTCAAAAAAAAAAAAACTATCTATGCATAATGTTCTCTGTAACCTTTACTAAATCATTAATTTTATAGAATCATAGAATATTTAAATTAAAAAGGCTATGGAAATTATTTAGATCAAATTTATTTATGAATAATAAAATAAGGCTAAGAGGAGTTAAGTAATAAAAGAATCGTGGCTAGGATTTGAGTCTCCTTAATAGAAAAATAGCCAAAGTAGGAGATGATAAATCAAAATACTAAAATAGGGGGCTAGCCAGTGGTGTGGTGGTTGACTTCGTGCACTCTGCTTTGGTGGCCTGTGGTTTGCAGGTTCCAATCCTGGGCGTGGACCTACACACCACTCATCCGGCCATGCTGTGGTGGCGTCACACATGTGAAATAGAGGAAGATTGGCACAGATGGTAGCTCAGGGACAATCTTCCTCAAGCAAATATAGGAAGATTAGCAATGGATGTTAGCTCAGGGCCAATCTTCCTCACCAAAAAAACCCCCAAAAAACAAAAAAAGACTAAAAACATAAACTTTGATAAGAGGAGGGTGTTGAACTGAGTCATAACTGAAGGATAGTGATACTTGAGTTATCAGCATTCATCATCATAATCTTTTTAGGAATAGAAATAATACAAGCAAAATTCTACAGGTCACTAAATGGTGAGTCTTTCTGCCAATGTTATATATAGAGACACAGTTTAGATTCCCCAAAAACTGAGCAGATAAATTTGAAGTAGCAATCTGAAGTGTCAGTGTGGATTAGTTTTGCCTTTATTTATTATTACAGTTATGCTTTGTTTTCTTTTGTTAGATACTTAATCCGACCAGATCCACTGGCATACCTTCCAAACAGTGAACCCAGTCGGAAAAACAGCATCTGCAACGCCGCTGGTCCAGACTCTCGGGAAGAAACTCAGCTTTGATAAAAGAAAATAAGAGACTTTTTTTTTCCTACAAGGATGTTGCTTGGAACAACTCTAAATCTTAGAGGAAAAAAATGTTGCTGGAATGAAATAAACTAGATTGGAATATATTCAATTCTCTCATATTTTAAAAAATCCATCCTCTTAGAAGTGTAGATTATTTTGAAATTTAAAGTATTGCTTATTGGTACTCCTACTGATATATAAAGACATCAATGGAATGATTTTGAAAACCCAAATTAAAACACAAAAATTTAAAGCTGATATTTAATTATTTGACAATAATCCAAACTGTGTGAAGCCAATTTTTAAAAGTATTAAGGTTTTATGAAAGTAAAATGAAAATCCAGCTATATTTGGTGCATCATAATGGATGTAGAAGATTGTCGCCCCTCTTAAAAATTAAATGTGTCATATTATATTCTTTAAACTTGCTGTTTCATAAAATTGAGCTCATCATAAATGTCTAGTCTTCTCTGAATAGACATTAACAAACTTGTGTGGCTGACTTTTGTGTAAGAATCATAGTTTGCTTTAGAATATAAATCTTTAAGTCATTTTAATCTTTTTTGTTGCCTTTTCATATGACATCATATTCATTTTAGAGTTTGAGATATTCATAGCATGTTTTGTCATACTGAAGACACCAAAACAAACAAAAAGAAATAAGTACCTAAATTTTTGCTAACTTTATGTCTCACACACCTTGTACACCAAGAAAAGTGTACCAAAACAAATATTTGTTGTTCTCTTAAAAGAATGCCTAACAGAGAAAATACTTAAAACGCATTGGTTGGCAAATTTAATCCAAGAATTGGATCATTAGCTGAAATATGCAGTAATGATTTTCAATAGATTCTTGAGCTTTAATATTTTTCATTTATCTATACAGTATATTTCATAACAAAGATACTTTAAAATTCAAAGAAGCAAAATTATACTTTTCATGGGATACACAGACATTTCAAAACTTTAAAAGTCCTCCTTTGTGCCTTTAGTATTGAAATAATCATACGCAAAAAAATATGTTAAAAAGTTTGGAAAATTTTGAAAAATTATCTATGGGAATTATGTTTTAACATTGTGAGGGAAAAAGCGTATGATAAAGGTGGGTAGTTTTTGCCATTTGAATTTAATATAAATCGTGCAGAATCTGATAGTTTTAAACTAAATATAAATTGACCCTTGGTGACACTAATGCTTTTATCTGGATTGTTTTATTCCACTTCAAAAACAGACTGAAAAGCACAAGAGCATAGCTTGCCAGGTAGGTGGAATGTGTAAAGGTATTGCCATGAAAGAGACATTGGTAAACTTAAAAAGATATTTTTCTTCTAAATTTTAATTTTTTTAATTTCTGAATTTGACTTGAATTTTCATTCAACAGAAAATAGGACATATAAGACTAGAAAGAGACATTTTTTTATCCTTTCTTTTAATAAAGAGGCAGATAAATTGAAAGGAAAATAGAAGGATTAGAAAAACATAGATAAAGAGGGGGCTGGCCCTATGGCCAAGTCGTTAAAGTTCTGTTTGTTCTGCTTTGGCAGCCTGGGTTCATGGGTTGGGATCCTGGGCGTGGACCTACTCCACTCATCAGCCATGGTGTGGAGGCATCCCACATACAATAGAGGGAGACTGGCATAGATGTTAGCTCAGGGCTAATCTTCCTCAAGCAAAAGAAGAGGAGGATTGGCAATGGATGTTAGCTCAGGACAAATCTTCCCCACACACAAAAAAAAGACAAAAATAAAAAAAAAAAAACACAACATAGATAAAGAAAGCCCAATATTCCCCCAAGTAATTCTATGGAAATAAAAATATAAATCATAAAATGTGAAATTATAGATTATAGCCATTGTATAATTTGGCTTAGAGAATATGAAATACCTATTGTTGGTTTTTAGTATTTTACCTTACTCTCATTTCAGGACAACAAGAACACCAAGAACTTCCTCTAAAACAGGGAGAGCCTATCTTTAATTTTCTTTAACCAGATTGGGAAGCAAAATTTATAACGTGTTACTTAAAATCGCAAGCATACCTTAAAACAAAGACTATATGCATATGTATGTGTATATGTTATAAACACAGGTGAAATATATTTGACAAACACATATTGATGTAAATTATTCAAACTAAAGGCAGAATTGAACTAATATATATAATGGAGAACAATAATGAGTTTAATTAACATGTTTCATATTTGCACATCAATAGTCAAGTATGACATTTCTTTGAGTTGCCATTTCTTTATTCCATTACATTTATTTTTAGGATTAAATATAAGATTTTACAAATCTTCTACTTACCCACAAGATCTCAAATTTAATATTTTTGCATTATGACAGTCAGCAAGACTAGGATTTTAAGCTAGGACATGACGATATTTCCTATAAAACTAAAAATTTTGTTTCATAAATTTTACAATAATTATTTTTGATTATGAACATTAGTCCAAATTTAATATTTGACACAATTCATATCAGCTTGCTATAATAAAGATAGTTTATTAGTCTTTCTGTTATTTAAAAAATAAAAAACATGCTTATAAAAGCCTTTTAACAAATTGTTGCCTTTTTAAAATACACTTGCACATGAAAATAAAACATAAAGTCGTTACTAGTCCTTGTGACCCTATGGGAATTGGTTCTGTCTATTGTCTATGTACCATTTTGCTACCAGTTACATTGAATTGCTTTAAAATAAATAATAAAATTATTTCTGATGATGAACACTCTTGGTGTTTTTTTGCCAAAACTTTAATTGTTTAGACAAATTATCTTTTGAAAGTACAAAATTTATTTGTCACTTCTATATTTCAAAGCCAGCGTTAAGTATAAAGGTGACCTCATTGGAAAAGATAGGCATGAATAAAATGTTGAATTCCTTCTTCACATAAAAGGTTCTGAATAACTATGGCGGGAAAGGAGAAGGGAGGAGGAGAGGTCAGGGAGCGTGGAGAGAGAGACCAGGAAGCTAAGAAATGGAAAGAAGAGAAAAGAAAGAAGGGAAAAAAATAATGTAGGTGCCAGAAGAGAAATATTTCTTTTACAAAACAGAATATCCCAAACACACTAATTTAAAAATCAGAAAAGCACTGGTTAGAGAAAAAAATAATTTTAAATGCAAAGGTAGACTTTTGATTCCAGAAAATGGAGTAGACATATTTCTTCCTATTCTTCCCGCTAAGCACAGCCAAAACCTAGATAGGGTGTGTCAAATAAACATAAGAGAGTGAAAAGATGAGAGAAGAAGGAAGACAGGAAACCAGGACTTGAAGAACAGCTTGGTGGTGAGCTCCCTCCATTTTTTTTTTTTTTTTTTTTTGCCCCCATGCGTCTTGGCCTGCATATTGGGAGATACCAATGAGCACAGTCAAGAAGTCCCAAGCACAGCCGACATTCTCCTTTCAAAGACTGACTCCTCCAGCAGGTGCAGCCTCCCCAGCACCAGACTCCTGATGCCCCTGCAGTGTGGGTGGCTTCTCCAGAGAATGGTCCCTGGAATATATAGTAGTCAGCATATCCAGTGGCCAGCAGCCACCCTCACCACTGCCTTGGATGGCTTATTGTAGCCAAGTACCTCCAATGAGTTGCTGCACCGTGAATCGCTTTCCCCATATTTCCAGCAAGTTCTACCAGTGCAGCACCCCAGTGGCTTTACCGCAATTCTGAGCTGCAGCTGTGCCATCTCCAACAGAGTCTGGATTTCAGTCCTGAAGTGTCTTCACAGGGCAACTTTATGTCAGCCCTGAAGATAAGGCCTGCTCCTTATATCTGTTATGGCAGATATAATAGATTATTTTCTAGTTCTCTTTGCTTATTACTATCCAAGCTGTCATTACACCAAAACTCTGCTACAGTTAATAATTCTATTAAGCTTGCTTTGTCCAAATCACTGTGTGGCTTCTCTCTCCAGATTGGACTCTGGCTGAGACGTGGTGCACAAGTCGCCAGCTCTCCATCTGATTAATTCTGAGATAATGGTGATATCGAATTCCTCAGACTGCAATCTGAAGGCCAGATTTTGGGAAAATTCGAGAAATTGAATAGCACCTGCTGGCAAACTTTAAAGAGAGACAGTGCTAATTTCATGAAACATTAGACCACTTTTATTTCTTTTTGATCTTCTTTGCACTTTTTATGGGACTTCTCTCCAGTCTATTTTATTTGGAGAGACAGTTAGCTTTAATTATGGCAGATCTGTCTAAGATTATAGCAAACAGTTCTAAAACAAACAGTTATTTGGCTTACAATTAAAGTTTATGTACTATCTTAATATTCAATAGAATTATATTTTATTCTTTATATCTAAAAATGTTTCAGTAGATCAAAACAATGATCCATCTTCCTAAATATAAGTAATAGAACAAATCTTTAAGAAATGACGCTATAATTTAGTCACATTCCAAAGAAATAGATGGTTCTACACAAAGGTTTATATGTTCCCCTTTTCTACTATATACAAATATGTTTCATTTCATGTGTCACCATGCTGGATATGTTTGCACTGGAAACTTAAATACAGTTCTAAAGGAAACATCCCACTGTCAACTTGTGAGCCAGCCTGGATGGCCTACTGGTTCAATTTCAGTGCTCTCACCTCTTTGGCAGCCCTGGTTTGCTTTCCAGTCACAGAACCACACCACCCATCTGTCAGTTGCCATGCTGTGGCAGTGGCTCATGTAGAAGAACTAGAATGATCTACAATTAGTATATACAACTAAGTACTGGGGCTTTGGGGAGAAAAAAAAAAAAAGAGGAAGATTGGTAACAGATGTTAGCTCAGGGCAAATCTTTCCATGCAGAGAAAATTAAAAAAAATATTTTTAAAACTTACAAAAATAAAAAACCTCTCAACTTGTGAAAGACAGGGACTATGTGACAACCTTGTTACTAAACCTGAGGTTGATACTGACGTTGAGGTTTGTAAATACATCTCATAGCCATATAGGCACAAATAAATTATATAGTGCTAAAGTAGTAATTGTAGAGTTGTAAGTACTTTTTAATATTGATTATTGTCATACCTCAAAAATTACATCAATTTGCATCAAATGTAATGGATTCCAAATTTTAATAGGTACCGTAGAGTGAGATCCCCAAAA